CACAGAAGTGGAGTGGCTGTAGAGACCTATGGTCTCTCCGGACATACTCCCTTCACAGCACCTGAGTGTGTTCATTAAGCCTTGTGCCCCAGGGCATTTTATTTATGGAGGGTCTATGATAGAAGTACTACGGTACAGTCTGACGATATCACTGACCAAAGTTACCGATTTAATCCCCAGCTCCCTCTCCCTTCCCTATGCTCACAGCCTCTCAACACATGGTTGCAACTATTCAGAGGTCCAATAAATTCAGATCTGAAGGGGACTGGCTCGCTGAAGTAACAAAGTGATCCAATCACTCAGGAAGTTGTAAGGGTTTTAAAGGCTCCGTATCAAGTTCAGGGGACAAGGACCACATACCAAATTACTGTTGTTATTGTTATCCTCATCATCATCATTATCATCATTTTATTACATCATGGCCAATGTGGGAGTGATGAGGCAAAGGAGAACCTAGAAGAAAATTCTAGTTGTATATAAGTGGTGTGATTCAGGACTGGCTACCCTAACACATAGCATCTCAGAACGTGAGGAAACAGTACCTGCAGGAAGGTGTCTCTGACTCCCCCCAGCTCTTTTCCCTTTAAGCAGGTGTTTACCCCTGGGAAGAACTTTCTGGATCCCCCCGCCCTGAGTTAGGGTGCAATACTAACATTCAGAAGATGCCCTCCCTATACACCCAGAGAAGGAAGGAGCCAAAGGCAGATAACCAGAGGAATCTGAACAAACGGGTCTTGCCAAGCTTCTCCTCTGCTCCTACAGCATGGCATCACAGTCTTTCCGCCAATCACGTTTCCCCATGTCTGCATGTCTGTCCATGTGTCAAAAGACCTGACATAAAACATACACAGGTATTCTTATTTCTTTATATAATTGTTTCCTTATTAAGTCTTCTCTATGTCATGAAAATTTATCACAGAAATCTCTGGGTTTTTTTTCTTCTTAAAATGCTTTTAATATCATCAAGTTTGTGCAAAGGGTAAAAAAAAATTCTATTCTCTATGGAACTGTAAAACCTAGTACGTGTGCGAGTATCTGCTCACTTGTAATCCTACATAGGCACCATGGAAATGACCAAATCTGTGCAATTAAGGAAACATGACCATTTACTGAACAGTTCATAGAAGATATTAACTAAAAACAACTATTTCCATTCTTACCTTGATCCTGCCAGGGCAACATATTTCATATGTTGAGCGTGCTGGCTAATTTTATATCAACTTGACACAAGCTAAAGTCATCTGAGATGGGGAAAACTCAACTGAAAAAAAAAAAAGCCTGCAAAGATCCATCTGCAGGCAGGCAAGTCTGTAGGGTATTTATTTATTTATTTTCCTTTGTTTGTTTGGTTGGTTGGTTTTGGTTTTTTGAGACAGGGCTTCTCAGTAGCTTTGGAACCTGACCTGAAACTAGCTCTTGTAGACCAGGCTGGCCTCGAACTCACAGAGAGCCACCTGCCTCTGTGGATCTGACACCTCTGACCTCTGTGGTTACAGGTGGTGTGAGAACCGAATATGGGTGCTAGGAATCAAACTCGGGGCCTCTGGAAAATCAGCCAGTGTTCATAACCATGGACTCATCTCTCTAGCCCCGCAAAGATACTTTTAAAGGAAGCAATGATTCAGGAAAGCAATACGACAGCATTATTTTTTAATTCATAATTAGTTTTATAAGCTTAAGAAGGGAAAACCTTAAAAATACGCTACTTTTCTCAGCCACACGAGAACCCTGCCCCAACACAACAAAAACAAAGCGTGTTGGTTCACTTCTTGGCATTCTTTAATTTTATCATAGACTCTGAAAGTTATAAAGTATCAAGAAAGAGCTCTTTTATTTTCAGAAATCTAAGGGTACATTTTGCACATTCCCGAAACTTAGCACGATGTCTTAGAAATGGACTTTGAGTTCACACATGGCAATGAATTCAACTGAAATGTCACAAGTCCGAGTGTCCACCTGTCTTTGAGATGTATACATACAACCCATTTATTTCTCCACTGTACTAAGAAATGGAGTTTAAAGAATTCTAAGACAGCCATATAAAAAATTAAACTTGTTGAACATAAATCGGTCTATATTATGTTTAAAATTTAATGTTCTCCTTTCAGTAGATTTAGGAATCCCTACCCTAGGCAAGGCCTAATTTACTAACCTTTGTATATAATTAGATGCAACTTCCTATCTGAACTATTAGTGTTCACAGTGTGATCTAAGAATTATGTCATAGTTAATAAAACACAACTATACTATGATTAAAGATCAATTTATATTTTACTAATACTAACTTATACTGACATAAATGAATAAAAGCTCAAATTTATAGTGTTACTAATGCCTCCACAGTATAAAGAAAATATTACCAGTGAGTCCAAAATGAAATGAGTTAACTTTCATTTCTCTGTAGGCAAATACACATATCTATATTCAACACAGACAAAATAAAAAGTCATCTATGCTAGGTTTCAGCTTGTCACTGTCCTTCAAAGCTACTACATAGGTGTTTCAAATGACCCATTGGTATGATCTTGATAGCCTACTTCTCAGGGCTGTTCATCAGTGAATCCTGCATGTAGCATACACCCACGCCCACTAACCAGCAGACGCCCACTCTCACGCACCAGCGTGCACACCCCATCCCCACTAACCAGCAGACGCCCACTCTCACGCACCAGCGTGCACACCCCATCCCCACTAACCAGCAGACGCCCACTCTCACGCACCAGCGTGCACACCCCATCCCCACTAACCAGCAGACGCCCACTCTCACGCACCAGCGTGCACACCCCATCCCCACTAACCAGCAGACGCCCACTCTCACGCACCAGCGTGCACACCCCATCCCCACTAACCAGCAGACGCCCACTCTCACGCACCAGCGTGCACACCCCATCCCCACTAACCAGCAGACGCCCACTCTCACGCACCAGCGTGCACACCCCATCCCGCAGCCAATGGTACCTTTTGCTCAATCTTCAGAAACTGAGCCAGCTCCTCCACTGTCAGGTGCTCCTTCTTGTCGCTGTAGCTCAAGAGCAGCAAATAAAGGTCTCTCCTCAAAGACATCATTTTGTAAAACACGCAGAATTCTTCAAATGTCAGAGTTCCCTGATTCTCGTCTGTGTCAGCTTCCTGGACAAAATATAGAAAGGCGGATTGGAAACAGCGAGGAATTCAGAACAAGAAAGGGACATTTACCATAAAAGGGCCAACACATAAATCACGAAAATACATTTTTAAGCACACAGGGAATATTATAAAAAACAATATTAGGCAATCAAGAAAGCTTCAACAAATTGTAATCAACATTACATAAACCAATTTCTTTGACCATAGTATGTCAAATTAAGTATATAAATTAAGAGAAAAATCTTAAAGCAGAACAGTAAAATAATGCTTCTAAATAGAAAAGTAAACACTTAAATGGAACAACTCTAATTCAAATCTATATGACACTGAGGCTGGAGAGGTGGCTCAGGGGTTATGAGCACAGCACTGGCTGTTCTTGCAGAGGACCCAGGTTCAGTTCTAAGCACCTACATGGCAGACTACAACTATTTGTAACTCCTATTTCAGGAGATGCAGTGCCCTCTTCTGGCTTTCTTCGGTACTGCACAAACAAGGTACCATCCATGCACACAGGCAAAGCACAATTTTTTTTTAATTAAGCTCAATTTTTTTAAGACAGACACACATCAAATCCCAGCATCAGAAATATAAATTACAAGCAAACAAGCAAACAGTAAAACGTTGATGATACAGTTAAACCTTTAAAGCAAAGCTTGAAGCTCAATTTTTAAGAAAGCGTTATTTGGAAACAAAACCTAAACTGCCTGTAATTTCTACCTCCCGGAGGATAAAGCAGATGGATGGTTAGTTGGAGGGCTGCGTGGACTGCATAAAGAGACCTTGTCTCAAAGACAAGATAAAACAAAAAAGCTAGTTATTCAACTAAAGAGCTAAAAAGAATGAAGCCAAGGAAAACTATAAGCAAAACCAAAGGGCAATGATAGTTTTTTTAGTGCTATCTTTAAAAGTAAGCAAGGAAGCCAACAGCTGATCTTTGAAGACACCAATCAACAAGGCACTTTGAGCACAAAGGATGAAGGGCAAGAGAGAGGCAGTGTTTCGAAGCCCAGCATAGACACTCGTCTCTCACTTGCTTCAGAACTGTAATGTCATTCCTCCCTAAGACAACCTTTCCGATGACCCATGACAGCTCTGGGATCTTGCAGCCACCAGAGCCATGCTACTATCTAACTTTTTCTTCCCAGGAAAAGTCCGAACATCTCACGCAGGTAGATGTCTGCCTTATTTTTCCCCAATGATTATTGCACAAGAACTGTCCACCACGGATCCTGAGCTGGGCTGAGTGGGTCATCAGACTGCCAGGGTGATGGAGGAAGGTCATTGGTTAAATAAAAAGAAACTGCTTGGCCCTCATTGGTTAGAAGATAGGTGGGAGGAGTAAACAGAACAGAACGCTGGGAGGAAGAGGAAGTGAGCTCAGACTCCACAGTTCTCCTCTCGGGGGCAGACGCCTCAGAGAGACGCCATGCCCCGCTCCAGGGATGAAGCTCCGACCCAGGATGGACATAGGCTAGAATCTCCCCGGTAAGCGCACCTTGGGGTGCTACACACAGATGATTAGAAATGGGCTAAATTAATATGTGAGAATTAGCCTAGAAGAGAATGGGCCAAGCAATGTTTCAATGAATACAGTTTGTGTGTTGTTATTTCGGGCATAAGCTAGCCAGGCAGCCGGGGTGCTGGGGACACAGCCCCGCTGCCCTTATTACTACACCAGGGTAGCAAACTGAGCCACCAAGCCGTTTACGGGATGGCGTTCATTCACGGTGAACACAATCGTGAGGAAACCAAAGCTGTTAGGAAGGGAGTGGTGCTCGGAAGCCCTGGGTTTGGGGAAGAACACTCGGCTGTGAAACACACTTCAATACAGCCTTGAGAGGCGAAACACTCATGAAAATTTTGCTTATGTGCTCATGCTCGCTTCAGGGGCACATATGCTAAAAACGGAACCATGCAGAAGATTAGCACGGCCTCTGAGCAACGACAACATGCAGATTAGCATAAAGCATTCCAAATTTTTAAGAAAACTTTTGCTTAATGCTAACTTTAGGTTAATTAAGTGCGCACAAAAATAGTTAAGCCTTGTACGGTCTCTCTGTGAAGCTGATTACTCCTATCTTGTCATTTTAAATGTGCATGTGGATTTTTGATAAACGGTTTTGATATATGGGGCATAATGAAGAGTCCTTGCATCTAAGAGATTGAGTATAGCGTTCACTTTTCTGTTATAGTTTTAAATTGGTGCACTTACTCCTGCCAGGCATGAGCATATGCACCTTAATCCCAGCATTCAGGAGGCAGAGGCAGGCAGCTCTATGTGAGTTCTGGGCCAGTCTGATCTACATGGTGAGTTCCCGGTCAGCCAGAACTGCATAGTGAGTCCCTGTTCTTTAAGTGTGCGTTTGTGTTAAATCCTATTAAGCAGATATATTTAAGATTTCACCTTATAGATACTAAAATATTCCAAAATCCAAAAAATAAAATCTTAAATCCAAAATACTTTTGGACTCAAGAATTTCACATGAGAGTACTTAATCTATTTGGAAACTCCTGAATCTTGCATTCCCAATATAAGCCTTTCTTTGCAGACTCCTGATAGACTCAGGACCCAGGTGGACATATTTCACATATAGCAGGCATATGTATCTGGTCATTTTCTGTCTTAACACATTTTAAAATCTGAGAGCCTAAAAAGAGACTCTGAATTCTCTTTTAAACCTGTCTCACCACATATACAGTGGCTTACTATCCCAAAATAAGGGGCTGAGGCAGAAGGAGCTCTAAATTCTGAGCCAGCCTGGCCACATAGTATGACCCCGTCTCAGGGTTTATAAAATCATAAGGACATAGAAAAGAAACGACTTGGGGCCACAAGGGTACAAGCTGTGATGGGGGCAAAGAGGGGAGAGAATCAACCAAAGTATGCATGAAAATGCCATAATGCAACCTGCCATATCTGCCGATTTTAAAAAGTAACCATTTAATAAATAACAAACTTGTCTGATGAATTTACATTTTCTAGTTTTCCTGTGTTTCACTCCTTCCTCTTTTCCTTTTAAGCTCATGTTGTCCTCCTGCGCAGTGGAACCAAACACCCCCAGTCCAAACCATCCCTAAACAGGAGTGTCTCCTAAGCAGGACCACCTGAGGGGATCAGAGAAGGAAGCAAGCATCTGGCTTCCATTTGCTGTTGGAACGCATGGCCCTGCTAGGAGCAGCGAGTGGTCAAAGAGCAAAAGCTCCAAACACAGAACATTTTACCTTTCTATGTTTATTATATATCTAAGATATAGACTTAATCACACAGAACTAAAAGTCTTTATAAAACATGGATTCTGCATATGATTTATCTACAAATCAGTACCATTTTGTAATTTAACTTCTGATCATTACCAATAGTGCAGTCTGGTCTCTGCCCAACACTGCTCATTCCCAAGTACAGCCCAGCTAGATGCTGCAGAATCAATTCCAGACCAGGATCTCCCTCAAGGATTGAGAGGAAAATGCATCTTGTCTCACACACCAAGAGAGGTTTGAACTCTGATGCCTTAGCACTTCTAAGCCTCGTGTGTTTTCTGAAACAAGAGACAACTCTTGGGGCTCCTGACAGCCATGTTCTTCTCCTGCTACTTGGTCTTTACTGTAACCCTCACCACAGCCCCGCAGCCCTGAGGCGGGCAGATGAAACATTCTCATCCCTTCAGAAGTACTTGACCAAGTTCACGCCACAGCTCAAGTACCAGGGAAAGTGTTTATAATACTAGCTCTCTGGAAACAGCAACGGCAAAGAAGTATTCCAGGGGGATGAAACCCAATGCTTCTTAAGTTTGAGAAGAATTTTTCCTTTGATGAGACATCTCATTTTTCCTTTGATGAGACATCTCTTTATCGAAGGAAAACGAAAACAGCGTGGAGCAAGTAAGACCAGCTTCTCACGACATAAAAGATTTTAATGTGCTAATTATAGCAGTCATTGCTGTGTTTTTACCAAAGGTGACCACATACCTGAAACATTTGTCTGACTTTTCTCCGGGGCAGATTGACATTTAGTTTATGCATCAACTGGTGAATCTCTTCGATGTTCAATAAGCCGTCGCCATTCTTATCAGCCTCCTCAAAGGTCTGCTTCACCCACGTGCAGAAAGGTCAAAGAAAAGTTTTCATCGAAATCAGAACTGCTCTCCCATTGAACGTCATGGGGACACAATCAGCAACACAGAATCAAGAGAAATGCTTTGGAGGAGACCCTGCGGTGCACAGGCTTTGCTGAGCTCTTGATAAACAGCAATAACAGAGGAGAAGGGGGGTGCGCACGTTGGGGGCACCCTCCCCTGCAAAACCTGAGGCATGCCAGACTGCTGAAAGGTGTAATGCAAACAGTCTTGCTAATCGAAATTAAAAATCAAGCTTTTTGCTAAAAAAAAAAAAAAGCACTGTATTCCAGCAGCCGTAAAGACAGCTACACCACTGGGTCCACTTTCCTTAGCCTCCATAGACAACACGAGTATATGAATTCACATGTTATCCTTTTTCCCGTGTCCTGACTTGCTGTGGGGGCACATTCTGCTCCTTCAGCCAATAGCCTTTAAGATATCAGCCCACTTGGGTGTGGTCCCTTTTGCTTTAAAATGCAGTGGTGCGCTCTCTTGCTTCCGGCTCCCGCTCTGGCTGCTAGATTCCGCTCCTGTTTGCTCAGAGGGCTGTTGTCTAGGGCAGTGATCTGTAAGTTTTCCCCTTAAATAAATAACCCTTTTATTAATCATAATTCCAAACTGGTATGGGATTGTTTTGTGACTTACACCTTCACTGACTTCATCTTCTCAATAATTTTGCTCAAGCACCAAGGGATGGAGGTCCTCATTTGTGAGATGCAGAGACAGCACCCAGCAGGAATAGCCTCGTGTTAATGGTCTAGCTCTCTGTCCAAAGATCTCATTAGGATGAAATTTCAAATATAACCAATCTGGCCTTTATCTTCTCCTGTGCCCTCTCCCTTAGTATGGCTTTTGTTTTTGTCATTCTTCCAGTCAAGAGCTCCACTCTCTTTTCTGTCTCTTACTCTTCTATTTTAAAGATGAGGCCATCTGGTTGACCCTCAGCATCGCCGGGAAAGAGAGAGTCTTTGGTGAGAACAGGAAGGAGACTGTAGTCTCATCCTAATCCCATGACTTTTACAATCTGACCTGGCATCCATGTTCTGTGCACATTAGGCTGTTTCTAGCCCACACTCCTCCTTTATCACCGGTATGATAGTGGTCTCCTACCAACTGCAAACTTCTAATCATAGTAAGCTCAGGTGTGAGACTCGGTGGTGAGACTATGAAGCCAAGTTTCAATATAAAGGATTCATATCATGTGTATTGAGACTTACAGAATCCTCAAATAAGTGAGCAGATTGAATATATGCATGAAAAATTCCCAATTAATGCACAGCATTTTAATATAACATATTTTAAGGATGGTATGCATGCATAGAATATTAAATTGAGCTTCAAAACTTAAAGGAAATTGGAGACGAACAGAATGAAAGTAACTTTAAAAAAAAAAAATGAATCCAGAGAATCAAACGCAGAGAAAGGGAGAAGTTTAAAAAACCAAGAAATGACTGGGCTAGAGAGAAGGCTCAGCAATTAAAAGTACTAGCTGCTCTCCTAAACAACCCAGGTTCAAATCCCAACACCCACAAGGAGGCTCACGGCCACCATAACTCTAGCTCCAGAAGATGCCCTCTTCCAGCCTCTATAGGCAACAGGCATACATGGAGAAAAAAAAAAAACACCGTACACATAAAATAAATATAAATTAAAATAAAAGAAAACCAAACAAGAAGTGGGAGAATAGAAGTGAAATGAGTGGATAATATCACCTTACCAAGCAGGTAACAAGACAAAAATGCCTTCCCCTGCCTCAAAATATCAACCAACCTCCCAGTGGCAGCAAAACACACTTAGATTTCCTCTGTGAGTCAAATTATGACTGTGAAAGATTACTGCCTTAGAGAGTAAAAGGCATATATGTGTGTGAGTGAATGAATGAATGAATGAATGATGAACACAACAGACCCCATTAACTTACACAATTTACAGGTGCTAAGTACCAGAAACTTAAAAAACCAAACTAACAACAACCAGAGGGTAAAATCTGCTTTCCTTCCAGACTTATTTCACAACAGAAGCAACACAAAAACCCATCTCTTTCCACTTTTTCTTGCAAAGCTCAGTCAGGAGCTCACTGTATATTTTGCCTAAAGGTTAAAAGAGATCAGACTTAGAAGAACAATAAGCAAAGAATTAGAAGGATGATCAGGTACTAGTACATGTTTTTTGTTTCCTGTCCACACAGAACCCCTCCCTGTGGAGCTCTCCATCCTTTTTGATTGAACACTCCTCTGTGCCCACAACATACTCAGCTAAAGTACAGAGAAGTGAGAAATGGATCCAATGACAACAGCACGTCCATCTTTCTGATCAGACCCTCTAAATGACCCGGGAAGCATGAGCATGACCTGCAGATACAACCTCGCTGGGCTGGGTCTACAAGGCTTCGTGCGTGAGCTGGCCTTGGCATCTGCTTTAGGGGACAGAATGGAGTCAGAACAAGAAATAAACACTGGCCCTGATTCTGCAGATGGCACAGCCCTGTTGCCATGGCTCACTCACGTCACCTCTTGGTGCCTGCTTCTTCCTCTCTGGCTTCAGGAAATCCAACTAGAGAACCCTGAGCCCACGTGCAATTTCCACATTCTATGAAAGGAAGACCCATTATTTCCAGTGACCGTACAACGTAGAAAAGCAGGGGAAAGGTTCCTGTTATCTTCAGGTTGTATTCTATAACCAAGATGTGAGTATCCGGACAACCCCGGACCCGAGGACTCATTACCACACACAACAACAACATTAAGAAGAGCATGTCATTCTACAGAGGAAAAATCAGAGGACAAGGGAAATAAATATTATTATTATGCTTTGTGTTTTCTACGACAAAACCATAGCAGGATGAAAAAAATGGGGTATCATTTCA